TTTTGGATATTTTAACCCAATCTGAAGATTTTTTCCTGAAATTTTAGACCATTTACATTTAATGTAAATACTGATATCATTGGGTTTATAGCTACTATTTCATTTAATGCAGTCTACTTATTCTGTTAATTTTTTGTTTCCTTTCCTTTCTTGCCCTTTTTATATTAATCATTTTTTAACACCTCCGTTTTTCTGTCTGCCTCTCTTTTAAAGTTGTACACATTTTTCCTTTTCTTTTACTGGTTATTTTATAAATTAAATTAATGTGTGTGTGTGTGTGTGTGTGTGTGTTTCATGAAGTCTGAAGCTAATCAGTATCTTTTCTCTTGGGCAATACAATGAATTTAGAATATTTAAATTCAACTTTGAATTATGTTATTCTTGCCTTGTATTTTATCTTCTTAAAAAATTTACTCACTTAAGACATTATTTTGACACTTTTTTTTTTTTTTTTTTTTTTTTAAGACAGGGTCTCACCCAGAATGGAATGTGGTGGTGCAATTACAACTCACTACAGTCTTGATCTCATGGGCTCAAGCAATCCTCCCACCTCAGCTTCCCAAGTAGTTGGGACCACAGGCATTCATCACCATGCCCAGCTAATCTTTAATTTTTTTGTGGAGACAGGGTCTTCCTATGTTGCCCAGGCTGGTCTCAAACTCTTGGGCTAAGGCATTCCTCCCACTTTGGCCTCCCAAAGTGTTAGGATTTCAGACGTGAGCCACCATGCCCACCCAAAATATTATTAATTTTGTTTTATAAGTCAGTATTTCATTAGAATTATTCACACATTCATCATTTCCTTGGTCCTTCATTCTTTTTTGCTCCTCAGACCTTCTATTTAGATTCACTTTCTTTTTTACTGAAATACTTCCTTTTCAGATTCCTAAAACAGGAATTACTGGTTAGAAAGTTCCTCTGTTATCATCTGAAAATGTATTTATTTTACACCCATGCTTGCATGAAACTTTTACTGTATACAGAATTTTAACTTGGCAGTTATTTTCATTTAGCATATTGAATATATTATTTTGGCTTTGTTTTTTTTGGTTTTTTTTTTTTGGAGAAGTCAGCTATTAGTTTAATAGTTCCCTTTGAGTAATATGCATTTTTCTCAGACTGCTTTTGTGATTTAATTTTGTCTTTGGTTATCTGCTGTTCCACTGTGACATATCTAGGTGTAGATTTATTTTTATCTGTTTTGCTTGGGTAATCATTGGTCTTCTTAAATCTTTGATGTCTTTCATTATCTCCAGAAAATTCTAACTATATTATTTCCAAATACTGTCTTTAATCCAATCTCTTTCTCTGTTCCACTCAATCCCAATTAGACATTTGGTTACTTCTCACTGTATGTTACTTTTTTTTTTTTTAAGACGGGGTTGACTGGGACGTGGTGGCTCACACCTGTAATCTCAGCATTTTCAGAGGCTGAGGTGGGAGGATCACTTCAGCTCAGGAGTTTAAGACCAGCCTGGGCAACATAGCGAGATACCGTCTCTACAAAAAATTTAAAAAGTAACTGGGTGTGGTGGTGTACACTCGTGGTCCCAGCTACTCAAGAGGCTGGGGCAGGAGGATTACTTGAGCCCAGGATATCAAGGCTGCAGTGGGTTATGATCACGCCACTGCATTCCAAAGTGGGAGAAAGAGTGCACATCCTCTCGTATACTTTAAATCATCTCTAGATTACTTATATTACCTAATACAATGTAAATCTTATGTGAATGCTTGTATTACTGTATTGTTTTTATATGTATCATTTTTATGATTGCTTTGTTACTTTTGTTGTTTTTAAAATATTGTTTATCTATGGTTGGTTGAATTTCCAGATGCAAAAGACTGACAGTATATACAGACATATATACATATGCACACACACAGGCATATACATATACATCCAATATACTTGTTTTATAGTGTTACCTCCAAAAATCTAGTCTATCGTCTTACATAGAGCAGAATTCATTCATAAACTTACAAAGTATCTTTTTGTACCGAATGTCTCCAATCCTCCTACAAATAAATTGACATGCAACAAAAGATAACAAGAGTCTAAGCTGAAGAGATTTTGTAATCCAAGTATAGGCTTGTTATTTGAGATAGCTGCTAATATCTGACTATGAAAATATCCCTGTGGCCTTCCAGAGTAGTGGCAATGTGAGCCTGATGTGCTCAAGGCCCTAATGTCCATGTGAAAGAGTTAACCTATTTGAGTTGGAAGTATTTTTACTTAGAATAAAAAGCTGCATTAGAGATGCGGCTTTTGACATTAAAAGTAATTGCAAAAACTGCAATGACTTTTGCACCAACCTATATGCAAACCATCAGTACTGTTAATAGGTACACCCTGAAAGACACAAGAGAAAACATATTCTGTGGTTCTAATGGTTGTAGGTAAGGGTGAAAGAAGGCTTATTTTACTACCCTTTCTGCCACATACTATCTGTAACTTCGAAATTTAGTTTTCCTGTCTAAAATTTGAGAAAATTGCCTGTTTTATTCACTTTACAAGGTTGTTCAGAAATATATTCAAAAAATATTATGAATATGTCAAATATTTAAGATATCAGCTGCAGCCTCCCCACAAAATGACATACTTCTAACTGCCTGCACTTCCACTATCCTGATATCTACTGTACTGAGGTAAATCCAGGTCTAGACAATTAAAAACAATTAAAAAATGATACTGCACCAAGAGGCAATTTGATGTTTTGCCAAATATCTTCTAAAATGGAATCTTGGGGAGGCTAGTCAGTCTACAATTAAGGACATAAAATATGTATACATAACTTTTAATTCTGTTTAATCACTTGGCCCTGTACATATTTATTCTCCATTTCTTTTGTTTATGAAGAGTCCAAAAAGATAGTAAAGAGAATCAAGATGGGAACTGGACTACTAGTAAGGAACTTAATGTTTTCTATTGCTGACTTGGAAGAGCAAATTTTCCTGGCGCAATAGCACAGCCCTCCATCTGTGTCCTGAAGGTGAGTCATTATTTCTTACAAATGAGGCTTTATCTAGATAGCTCTGTTTCTATAATATAATGGCAGATGTAAACTTTTTTTACATGAAAAATGGGAAATGAACTGTGTATGATCATTTCTGTCTTCACTAAGATGTATATGTAGCATACAAAAACACGAATCCAATACTGTACTGTGGGCTGGAAGGCACTTCCATTTGTAAGCTGACTTGAGATATTGCAGTTTTTGCCTGTTTTTTTTTTTTTTAAACGCTGATTTTCTCCTTTTGTTCCTCATTGCTTGATCTCATCCTACTATATTACCACTCAACTAGGACAGATTCTCATAAGTTTCTACCATGTGAACTAAAATATAATTTGCCGGATCACTTTTATTCAGGACTTCTAAAATAATGCTCTAATAAAATCAATTCCTAAGAATAATTTTGTTAATAATTCAAATATCACATCTACTAAGACCCAGATACTTTATGAACGTAACCTCTAGCCCTCAATACCATGCTATTTCCCTGTTAATGTGGGTGAGAAAATGTTTACTTAGAAATAAGAGGTCATTTAAAGGGTGAGATTATAGGGATTTAAACCTATGTTCATGTGATACCAAAACTCAAATTCTACTTCACTACAACACTTCGGAAAATACCATTGAGTTAATGGTATTTTATGTTTATTGACAGATGAAGTGACATGGCACCTCCAACACATTCTACTTTCATTATTTAAAAAATTTCTTCTGAAAAAGAAAGATACTAATTCGTACAATGACAGCACTACCAACAAGTAGGAGCAGCACTTTATTTTCTGCCAAACATTTTCTGTTATGTAAATATAGGCGTTATGCATTTCTACAGGAATTCATTCTGTCTCTTAAGGAATGTAACAAAACTACTCCTTGCCTCAGGATTTTGGTTGGAACTGAACATTTCAGCTTTCCATTAGCTATCATTAGTCAGTCACTGAATTTGGACAGCACTAATTTAAAAACCTCTTTACCCCATAATCCTAGCACTTTGGGAGGTCGAGTCAGGCGGATCACCTGAGGTCAGGAGTTTGACACCAGCCTGGCCAACATGGGGAAACCTTGTCTCTACTGAAAATACAAAAATTAGCCGGTCATGGCGGTGCACACCTGCAATTCCAGCTACTCGGGAGGCTGAAGCAGGGGAATCACTTGAACCCAAGAGGCAGAGGTTGCAGTGAGCCAAGATCGTGCCACTACACTCCAGCCTGGGTGACAGAGCAAAACTCTGTCTCAATAAATAAATACCAATAGAAAACTCTCCACAAGTTATTCAAAGCTGATGTTGAAAATTAGATATTTTATCTAGTCACGCTAAGTTAGGAAATTCTACACTATATAACCTTTTTAAATTATTTAAATGTATTTCTAAAACTGAAACATTTTCTTGGAGGCTAGGGCCCTGGTACACACCTCTGTATTCCTAATGCCAAGTGCAATGCCTAACACAGAGTGGGCATTCAACAAATACTTGGTAGCCTGAAATGTTGACACATTATCCCAGAAAGTGCCTTCAAAGGTCATTTTTCTCTAAGACCTTATGGATTGTTCAGAGTAAAGCATGTCTTAGAACATAAATATAAAACTAACTGAACTAGAAGTAGATGAAATATAAATGCAGAAAAGGGCAATCAGGAAAATCTTCAGAAAAAGTATGGAAACAGATCAACTTTTTAGTACCTAATCACAATACTTCTTAATTATAATTAAGTACTACAGGGAGCCCTTGTAAGGGCATTAGTACATTTATTTGTCGTTATATTCATTTTTATTTTACTTACGCTTTGGTGCTATGTTTTAATTCAGCAGATGATAGTTGAGGTAATAATGTTTGTCAGCCTATCAGTGAGTTTTTATCATAATGTTTTTGACATCATTTTTTTGTTCCATAGTATTCGCTATGAAATTTTAAACTACATCTATTTTCCCCTTCAAGAAGTAAATATAGCTCATTGAACGCGCTTGCAGTTCTGGAGGTTTCTGTGTCTTTCTTTGTAGTCAGAGTTGGCCCTACACGCCAGCAACCGTGTCGAAGGGACCTGCAGTTGGTATTGATCTTGACACCGCATACTCTTGTGTGGGTGTTTTCCAGCATGGAAAAGTAGAGATAATTGCCAATGATCAGGGAAACTGAACCACTCCAAGTTATGTCACCTTTACAAACACTGAATGATTGATCGGTGATGCCACAAAGAATCAAGCTGCAATGAACCCCACCAACATGGTTTTTGATGTCAAACATCTGATTGGATGCAGATTTGATGATGCTGTTGTCTAGTCTGATATGAAGCATTGGTCCTCCATGATGGTGAATGATGCTGGCAGGCCCAAGGTCCAAGTAGAATACAAGGGAGAGACCAAAGCTTCTATCCAGAGGAGGTGTCCTCTATGGTTCTGACAAAGATGAAGGAAATTGCAGAAGCCTACCTTGGGAAGACTGTTACCAATGCTGTGGTCACAGTGCTAGCTTACTTTAATGACTCTCAGCATCAGGCTACCAAAGATGTTGGAACTATTGCTGGTCTCAATGTACTTAGAATTATCAATGAGCCAATTGCTGCTGATATTGCTTACGGCTTAGACAAAAAGGTTGGAGCTGAAAGAAACGTGCTTATCTTTGACCTGGGAGGTGGCACTTTTGATGTGTCAATCCTCACTATTGAGGATGGAATCTTTGAAGTCAAATTTACAGCTGGAGACACCGACTTGGGTGGAGAAGACTTTGACAACTGAATTGTCAGCCATTTTATTGTTGAGTTCAAGCGCAAGCATAAGAAAGATATCAGTGAGAAGAAGACAGCTGTGAGACGCCTCTGTACTGCTGGTGAACATGCTAAGCATACTCTCTCTTCCAGCACCCAGGTCAGTATTGAGATCGATTCTCTCTATGAATGAATCCACTTCTGTACATCCATTGCCTGTGCCTGATTTGAAGAATTGAATGCTGACCTGTTCCATGGCACCCTGGGCCCTGTAGAAAAAGCCATTCAAGATGCCAAACTACACAAGTCACAGATTCATGACATTGTCCTTATTGATGGTTCTACTCATATCCCCAAGATTCAGAAGCTTCTCCAAGATGTCTTCAACAGAAAACAACTGAATAAGAGCATCACCCTTGATGAAGCTGTTGCTTATGGTGCAGCTGTCCAGGCAGCCATCCTATCTGGAGACAAAACTAAAAAATGTTCAAGATTTGCTGCTCTTGGATGTCAACCCTCTTTCCTTTGGTATTGAAACTGCTGGTGGAGTCATGATTGTCCTCATCAAGCACAGTACTACCATTCCTACCAAGCAGACACAGACCTTCTGGCAGCCTATCTATTGTGACAACCAGCCTGGTGTGCTGATTCAGGTTTATGAAGGTGAGTGTGCTATGACCAAGAATGACAACCTGCTTGACAAGTTTGAACTCACAGGCATACCTTCTGCACACCATGGTGTTCCTCTGATTGAATTCACTTTTGACATTGATGCCAACGGCATCCTCAGTATCTCTGCCGTGGACAAGTGTATAGGAAAAGAGAACAAGATTACTATCACTAATGACAAGGGTCCTTTGAGCAAGGAAGACATTGAATGTATGGTCCAGTAAGCTGAGAAATATAAAACTGAAGATAGGAGGTGTCATCCAAGAATTCACTTGAGTCCTATGCATTCCGCATGAAAGCAACTGTCAAAGATGAGAAGCTTCAAGGTAAGATTAATGATGAGGACAAATAGAACATTCTGGACAAGTGTAATGAAGCTATCAACTGGCTGGATAAGAGTCAGGCTGCCAAGAAGGAAGAATTTGAACATCAGCAGAAAGAGCTGGAGAAAGTCTGCAATCCCATCATTACCAAGCAGTACCAGAGTGCAGGAGGCATGCCAGGAGGAATGCCTGGGGAATTCCCTGGTGGTGGAGCTCCTCCCTCTGGTGGTGCTTCCTCAAGGCCCACCATTGAAGAGGTTGATTAATCTAACATAAATATAGATGTAGCATTGTTCCACACATTTAAAACATTGAAGGACCTAAATCTGTAGCAAATTCTGTGGCAGTTTTTAAAAGTTCACCTGCTGTAGTAGGTTACTGGGAATTCTCAATACTTGAATATGCAACATGTGCACAGGGGAGGGAAATAACATTGCACTTTATAAGCACTGTATTGTAAGTGGAAAATGCAACGTCTTAAATAAAACTACTTAAAATTGGCACAAAAATATATAATTTAACACTGTGTTAAGAATATATCTCTAAAAGTTACAGAGATCTAAGCACTTGCATTTTTTATAAATTATTAGTAGCAAAATGCAATCCTGAAGGTATAACTACAGTAAAATTGGGTTTCTCTATTTCCCTTCAAAGTTGGCTTGGCATTATGACTGTATATAGTAAGTATGAAAACAATCATCTATGTGGTAATTTGGGAGCTGGGAAAATATCCCATCTACTTTATTATAGTAATTTAAATTGTACCATTGTAAGCCCTATTCTTACCAATTGACTAGGGAGACATGTACCTCCTCTGAACTTCTTAACCACCTATTATTTACTCAATGCATTCCATCATTAGCACATAACCTCATGTTGTTCTTTTTTTTATATATATAAGTTTCTGCCTCCCACCAACACACACAAACACACATATGCATAACATAATTATATTATAAACTCCCTCATAAGCAGGGATTGGAACTATATATTACGACATCCCACTGTGTTTTGTTCAGTGCTGACAAACAGCAGATACTCAATAAGTGTCTTTATATTGATTGTGGTTTGATACATGGGTTATAATAGTTTAACAATGATTTTTGTTTTCCTTGATCATTGTTAGAACATCTCTATCCTAGTGGCTTCTGGGTTCATAATAACTGCTTAAAGTGTTAAAGATGATGGAGTTTGGACACAGGGTGGGATGGGATGGGAAGCCTCTGGGTAAAATAAAGGATTTAATTTCATTTAGATGTCTGCTTCAGAAGGGGTTTAGAAACCAAAGCTAACTGCACAAAGTGAAAGGCATTTTGGAAATTATGTGGTTTATTTAATCAGTTTCTAAAGGAACTTGTTTAATTCCAGTTCCTGAATAGATTCTGTGGTTGCAGTAGTCTTATTTGCTGAGTAAAATATGTAATACAAAAAATATGCAATTGCAATTTTTGGAATAAATGCATCATATTGTTGAGCATAAATGATCTCCAAAATATCTGCTCAGTATCCCAAAGTGCACTGATAAACATAACTGTTATTCTTGATAAAAGGTATGATCCCATGGTATCTGAAAAATTGTCTATTTTTAGATTATTTAAGAGTCTGTATTCTAATTCAACCAAGATTACTTTAAAATTTAACTTTTGGAAAAATGACACATGAAATGTATTCGGCTATTCCCAATCACAATACGTTAGTTTGCTGTAATTCACACAGAGCTATTTTTTCATAGAGTTTCACTTATGAAACTGGCTCTTACTACAAAAATGAAGTATACCTTGTTGCAGTACTATTGCTTTATTTTGAGATTTGAGTGGGGAGAAAGGCTAATATTTCTATCTTACTAATATTGTGTTTACCAGTTTTTCATTCTGATTTAAGATTCTTTCCATAAAATAAGTTATAATGGGAAAGGGGGAAAGAAGTTCTTGTGCACCTGATTTTCAGGGTAAGGAAAGTAAAAATGTTAAGCTCAGTTACTGAAAAGAATTTTTACTTATTGCATATACCTGCTTAAGAAAGGCCTTAGAATAATCATACTTTGGAGACAAAATCAAATTTAGAGACATCTAACACAGTCCTCTCATTTCACAAATCAAAGGAGGCTCAAAGAAGCCAAGTGGCTGAACCTAGATCACACAGTTACTGCAAAAGCTGGAAATTGAACCTAGGCCTTCAATACTTTACCATCCCTTAGTATTAACCAACAGAAGGAAAATGTAAAAATGCAGAATGGTGAAATAGTTCACAAGAAAGAGTAATCCGCCAAGAGTCTGGTATCCCAAAGTAAATCCAAGTTACATTATTGATGATTTGCCTAATAATTTTATATCCCTACCAACTCTCCTCATTGACCTTGCCCCTTTCTAAATTTATTCTTTTCCCAGTTTCGGCTTTTGCTTCATGTCTTGGGCCTTAGGCTAACCTGGAATTACTAGCCTTTGTTGGACAAGACATGAGTAGGGCTGTTTCTTAAGCCAAAATCTATAGTGATTTCCCTTGATCCCATAAACGTGTACAAGTCTCCCCGATAATTAAAGTACTTCTTTGACTTTTTGCCTCCCTCTGAAAAATGTTTCCTCTCCTAAAGGTCAGAATCAAGCCCCCCCACCCCCGCCGCCCGCCCCACCACGACACACACACAAAAATCTAGTTTCATAAAAAACAAATGCAAAATGTGAACCTTGCTTGAAAACTAATTTAAATAAAGCAACTCATTTATATTCTAATTTGAGCCAATTATTAAAAGTGAATACAGATTAGGTAGTAGATGATATGAAGTAATCATTTTAACTTTATGCAGTAAAATCACTTTATGGTGTTATGTTTAAAATGTCATTATAATTCAAGGTGTATAAAGAAGTACTTAAAAGAACAGAACGTCCAGAATGACAACCTTGGTGAATTCTTTCTCTCGCAAAAGCTATAAAAATACTTGCAAAACTACAAAAATCAACTGTTTTAGAATCCTGAAAATTAACCAAAAGTACAGATTTGGCTTAAAACATATTCATTTAAAAACAGTCTACTGCACATCAGTTAGAACAGTGGGATCTATGTTGTTTTAACTTTGGGCTACCTTCATCCCCCTCTCACCACAGTAACAAAGCACAGTAACCAGCCAATAGAGTGGGGACTGATTTGTTTTGGAGCTTCATGTAAAGCCCCATCCTTAGAACACTTTCAATATTTCGGCAATATTTACAATAATTCCTTTGAAACACATTATTCACAGATGATTGGGCTATTTGTCCTGACTCTGAGTTTAGTTCTTCGGAAAAAGCCTTGTCTCCAGAGTTTTGAAAACAATAACATGAGCTGGATTTAATAACATTGCAGTTGCCTAAGCCTGTGAGTTCAGTTGTAACAAACAAGAAACTGGCTAAAAATTGAAAAGGAATACATCGGTAATGGGAAAAGGACCAACACAAGGGACTCTAAAGTGCTCCAACATATTTCAGGAAATCTAAAAAGCTGCACAAGTGTGTATGTCTGTACACATGCCCAAGAAAACTCAGAGAGGACACAAACAACTCATCTCTAGCTACCTTTGATGCTGGACTCAAGCAGGAAGTAAAAGCTAATACTGACTTGTAAATTCTCTGACATTTGAAGGTGCGACCTCCCACAAAAATCTCCTTGGAACAGGGTGGAAGAAATACTGGCTCAAAGCATTTAATAGAATATTCTGAACAATCATTGGCTGACTACAAACAATGCTGATTCAGGGGCAACTCTTAAGAAGTAAGGATTAAAAATAAAAGCAAATATCAAAGAAAAATGCTTTTCTTTTGAAAAGAAATACTGGCTCATAGCATTTAACAGAATATTCTGAACAATCACTGGCTGACTACAAACAATGCTGATTCAGGGGCAACTCTTAAGAAGTAAGGATTAAAAATAAAAGCAAATATCAAAGAAAAATGCTACCAGAGAAAATAGCAGCCACATATTGCAAGGAATACAGAATCTATAGAAGTATTCTAGGAAAGTAACTGAAGCAAGCAGCAATGAGGACAAAATCTCATAAACAACAATAAACACTACAGGTTGGGGTAGACCTGATTTCAAAGTCACTACAATATATTATTTAAAACGTCCGAGTTTCAACCAGAAATTTCAAGACATGCAAAGAAACGGAAAATATGCCAGGCACGGTGGTTCAGCCTGTAATCCTAGCACTTTGGGAGGCCAAGGTGGGTGAATCTCTTGAGGTCAGGAGTTCGAGACCAGTCTGACCCTGTCTCTACTAAAAATACAAGCCCTGTGAAACCCTGTCTCTACTAAAAATAGTGAAACCCTGTCTCTTCTAAAAATACAAACAATAGCCAGGTGTTGTGGCATGCACGTGTAATCTCAGCTGCTTGGGAGGCTGAGGCATGAGAATCACTTGAATCTGGGAGGCGGAGGTTGCAGTGAGCTGAGGTCACACCACTGCACTCCAGCCTGTGCAACAGAGTGAGACTCTATCTCAAAAAAAAAAAAAAAAAAGAAAGAAAGAAAGAAAGAAAGAACGAAAGAAAGAAAGAAAAAAGGAGAAAAGAAACAGGAAAGTATGGCATATAGGCAGGAATTAAATAAGTCAATGAAAAGTGTAGAGAGGGGGCCTAGATGTTGGACATATCAGACAAGGAGTTTAAATCAGCTATATAAATATGTTTAAAGAACTAAAGAAGACTATCTTTAAAGAATTAAAGAAAACTATGATGATAATGCTCACTAAATAGAGAAAATCAGTAAAGAGATACAAATTAATTTAATATTTAAAAGAACAAGAATTCGGAAGTTGAAAAGTACAATAACTGAAATGGTAAATTCATTAAATAGGCTTAATAGAACATTTCAGAAGGCAGAAGAAAGAAACAATAAACTTGAAGATAAGTCAAAAGAGATTATCCCATCTGAAGAACAGAGAGAATAAAGGAAAATGAACAGAGCCTCAAAGGCCTGTGAAACACCATCGAATTATGCATAATGGGAGTTCAGAAGGACAGGATAGAAAGATACAGAAAATATATTTAAAAAAACAATGGCTGAAATCCCAAATTTGATAGAAAACACTAATTTACACATCAAAAAGCTCAATGAACACCAATTAGTATAAACTCAGGGATACACACCTAGATACTTCATAGTCAAAGAGTTAAAAGGCAATGACAAAGAGCAAATTCTGGAAAAAGCAAGACATAAATGACTCAACATATACAAAGGGACCCAAATAAGATTAACAGTTGACTTCATCAGAAGCTGTGAGAGCCAGAAAGCA